GGCCCTGCAGCGAAGTGTGGAGTGCACGTTTCCATTGTAGGGGGAAGCTTTCTTCTCAAAAGCAGAGGCCCGTGAGGGGACAGGGCATATGTTCAGCAATGAGGTGTAGTGGGAAGCCTGCCTGGAGTGGAGAGGCATGAGTTTGAGGTCCTACCCTGCCATCAGCCACCTTTGTGACCAATAATGGCAGCTTAACCATCATGACCTCAGTTTCCACATCCTTTGGGCAAGAAATTAGCTAGAAAAGTAAGACTGGCCTTAGATGGCCCCAAGCCTCCTTCCAACTACTAACATCCTGCCTTCAAGCATTGAATCAGAGGGAGTCACCATGTTGCCTGTGGCAGGGGTGGCCTAGGCCTTTGGGAACACATTGAAAACACCATCCCCTCAACATGCCCTCACAGACTCTGTCTGCTAGAAGCCCTTTTAAATTGCAAGGTCGGGCCACTTTCACTACCACTTCAGCATATAAAACCCCTGTCTTTCTAGTCCACGGATGGAGGGGTAGCAGGGAAGTTTGATTTGACTTCCCGCAGGGCACGGAGTTGAGGGCTACCAATTTTCAGGTTCAAGAGTTGTTACTCCAGTTTCCTGTTACCCACCATTAGGTTTGATTGATAGTATTAAACAGAAGGAAAACACTATTTTACTGGAGTGGGGAAAGGCCTTCAGTTAAATAATAAGTATATAAAATGCGCAGTTAGAGCTTTTGTGAAGAGAGAGATGTAATTTTGTGGTTGTGCATGTCCAGGACTCTCTTCCACACGAGGTTTTGTTGGGAGAAATAGAATGCATTGGGTCAGCAGAACGAATCAAAGACATGGTCCTGGGAGGGCATGGTCTCATTCAGAACCATCTTTAGGTTCGGGGGGTTGTGCGGTTTGATGCTTTGAAGGCAATCAAAGAGAAGAAAGGGTTGAGGTCTGAGAAAGACTGTACAGAGTCTAGGAACCACAGATACCCAAGGGCCTCTGTGGTGACAGATTCAGGGTTCCCTGGGTTGGACACAGATCTTCTCTGAACACTGGCTGCTTGTCATGTTCCCTGCTGTGTGGCACATCAGAATCTCTGGGCCAAGTGTTTATGGGCCCAGAAGATCTGATTGGTTCCTGCATGTATGTGAGCATCATTACATAGGGACCAGTGTTCGTGATCCCCAAAGATCTGGTTGGTTCCTGCATGTGAGAATCATTACATAAGGACTGCCTGACCTCAGACAGTGGCACACACTGTCCTGTAGACACGAGTGGGTTTTGCTGGTCTCTGATCATGGTTACTACCTGTAAAGATCTCGTTACGTCTGACCCTGACTTAGGAGTCAACTTACTAATGGTCAGAATGTAATTTCTGCCACTTCCGTAATCCAGTTTCCCAAGCAATAATATGATACGCGAGGGGACAACTGTGTTTTTGAGTCATGGAATTATCCAGACGGTGACTCATAGCATCATCAAAATGAAATCATGTTCATTTACATGTGGTGAGTCATGTTGAAAAAAAAAACTAAATTTCAGGAAATTGGAATTGTCTGGGAGAATCTGGGAGCTGTGGTTTGCAGTAGAAGAGATTAATCCCTGTCAGGAGTGAGCAAGGGGCTTGGGAGCTGTCTAACTCAGGTAAATCGAGAAATAAATTGTGAACTCTGGTGACAACTAAGATGAGTAGGGTTGTTGACTTCAAGCAATGGTTTATGAACACGAAACCCCGCTTCCCCTGCTTCCTAAAGGCAATATTTCAAGTTATTGAACTGGAAATTAATTTGATACTCATTTGTTCTCAGCTCATGCTTTAATGAGCGTGTATTCCTGTATATTTAATTAGAAAGTACACTTGATAAATAACCCATTAACAACAGAGCCTGGGAACAAATGGGTTTCCAATTTCAGAAGTCGGTAATTATTGTCACCACTTGGCTTTCTCTCCCCTCTCCCCCCATAAGCGGGACTCTAAGATGGATCTCGAAGGTCAGCCATCACCAGGCATACTAGACTCCAACAGCAGCTACTGTCCTTTTCGATTGAGAGTCACCTTCAGCTTTGACATGCCTACAGGTGCGCTGTGCTAGAATTTCACACCCCACCCCGTAGACCACAGCCTGAGAAGGGGACCGTGATCCCTTGATGCCCTGAGATATTTCAGTCCATTACAAGCATCCTCCTTGATGAGCCAGTTTTACATGACTCCCCTGAGAGTTACACACACACAGCGCCATTTCAAATCTACCCAGATGTCTAGGAGGCACACTCGCAGCCATGTGTCCTCCCTCCTTGATATTCTGATGTGGCCGCCTGGGCAGCCCCTTCCCTTTCAGTCCCCCCAAGTGTCTTGGACTAACCCACTGCTTGTTGATGAGGACAGCCTCCTAGAAGACAGATCACCAGGTACTCCACAGGCCTGTGTCTGCATCTCCTCCCCCTCTCCCCTGAACTGCGTGCTCCCTCCGTTACCCACTGCCTTTGCAGTTTCCCATCTGCAGGTAATTCCTTCTCCATTCCTGGCCTCTGGACACCAGCTGTCCACGCTGCAGTGTGTGCACCGAAATACTCTTCGGCAAGAAAACGCAGAGTTCATAGTGGAACCTGGAAAACATTATGCTGGATGAAAGAAGCCAGGCATGAGGCCATGTACTGCAGGCTTCTCTTTGCATGAGAGGAACAGAGCGAACAAATCCATAGAGACAGAAAGGAGGCTAGTGGTTGCCAGGGGTGGTGAGGGAGGGACTGTGGGGCTCGAGGTGTCTCTGAGCGGTCATTAAAATGCTCTGGGATGAGATCGTGGTGGTCATTGTGCATCCTTATGGATTTCAGTGGCAGAGGATTTCAGGTACTCCCTGTACTTGAAACAGAACACCGTGAGATACTGACATGATGTACTTTAAAATAGCGAGATGTGTGGTATGAGAGTGAAGTCTTGATTTGAAAAGAGAGTCAACTCTGCGAGGTATCCAATTGTCATGTAAAACAGTTGTGATTAAGAGAGTGGTATTGGCTTAGGAGTGGACAGTTGACCATTCCTTGGTGGACTATAAAACAGAGAAGAGCCACGGACATACCCTGAGTATTCCCATATGCTCTGGTTTGGATGTCTCACGTGCTTGCGCACTCAGTCCCCTACTGATGGCACTTGTCTGGGGGGGCTTGTAGTACCTTTAGACATGACTCCTTGCTGGAGGTCACTGGAGTGGGGCCACACTCTGCTTCCTTGCTGTCCCGTGTGAGCAAGCAGCCTCCCACTACTAAGAACTCCACTGTGCCTTCTTTGCCGTGATGGACTGTGAACCAAAAGAAGTCCTTGCTCCTTGGAAGTTGTTTCTATCAGGTCACAGAAACAAGAAAAGTCACAGACACAGCACATGGCAGAAAGTCGGGGAGAAAAACCGATGAGCTGTGGTGGATAATGCCTGCCTTTGGTGGAGGGGAAGTCGTACATGCCCTGTACTTCCAGGATGGAAATAAATTCTGGATAGAGTAGAGAGCCAGTCTCGAGACTGTGTAAACAGAAGAAAATAAAAGGCATGTACCCATGACCTCAAAGAAAGCTGCCTTTAATAATACAGAAAGCTATGGGGGCAGGGTACATGGAAGAGACTTGAATTTATAAAGCCAGGAACTCTGGACAATAATGTTCAGGTTAAAAGACTTTTCTTACACAAGTATGAGGTTAAAATATTAATATCCTGATATATATATATATATATATATATATATATGGCTCTAAAATCAGTAAGAAAGATTCAAACCTGTCTCCCTGCAGCCTTCTCATCTCCATCCTTTGCCTTTCAGATGACCCAAGGATTTATCCTCTTATGTGGTTGAGATGACCTTAGCCAATTTTTCATGATGTCATGGCTTTCCCTTTGCCACTCAACCTCACCTGGTCTTTCTCATTTGTTTATTTTTAACTATTTTTTTGATTGTGTGTATGTGTGTTTGCGTGCACACATGAGTTTATGTGCACCACATGTGTTCAGGAGCTCTTGGAGGCTGGAAAGGGCATCAGATTAGCTCCCCTAGAACTGAACTGCAGATGGTTGTGAGGCACCAAGTGCTGGGAACCAAATCTGGGTTCTCGGCAGAATAGCAAATATATTCAGCCACCCAGCCATCTTTCCAACCCCGGTCCTTTTTCTCAGCCAGGTAGAGATAGTGTTTGTGAATGGCTTGTCACCACCAAGAGCTGACGTGGGTATGGTGGAGGCCGGCTGAGACCTGGCTGTCACTTAGAAGGTCTCTTTCCTGCAAAGAGTCAGCATGCTGCTGGCATTGTGAATGCCTGGGCGAAGACTGTGGCGTGTGAGCAGCCATTCCTTGCCAATCAGCTGCTTAGTTGGAGCTGTGACCCAGCCTTTTTTTCAACAGCATAACTACCTTGAATCTGGACAGAGCTCTGTCTTCCCAGGAGGCATCTGAGCTGTGGTTGCTTTGGGGAATGTTAGAGTTATCCTATAAGGATTTCTTTTTTTCTTCCAAGACCTCCCTCAGTGACCTTCCTGCCGAGCTGAATGTGGGCGATTCTGGGAATTCTCATCTTTCATTCCTTAGTAGCTCCCATCTGCTCGGCTGTTGTCCTAAAACGTTGATCCAGGCCTGGTTTTATTGCATTTCACAGTGTGCTTAAACAGCCCATCCACTTCCTCATCTCATTACCAGAGACAATTTACATGAGGGTAAACCAAGGATGTCAATGTGATCTGTTCTGCTCCTGCGCTTTGTACAACCGTGGGCATCAGGGCTTTCCCAGGGTGGGCGGGGTCCAACAGGTAAGAGTGGAGGCCACTCAGGCATATCAGAACCCTGCTGATAATATCTAAGGAGGTCTGATGTGCTAACCATAGACCCTGGAAAAGCCACATTAGGCTTAGCAGTAAACATTAAGACTACCTATGTAATATGGTATAACATGTCCTATAAGTAAAGCAATAGGGGTGTAGACTAGAGGAAGCTGGGTTATCCTAGGTGGAAGGAAGATGTGTTAACTGATTTCCCCTCTCTGTCTTTCAGGATCACTGTTATTACCACGGACACGTGCAAGGAGATGCTGCCTCAATGGTCAGCCTCAGCACTTGCTCAGGTCTCAGGTAAGTGGACATGACCATGGACGTTCCGGTTTAACCATCCCTAGATGACTCGTTTCTCTCTGCACTCACTTGAAGACCCTGAGAAAGTGGGAGGCAGCCTGTGTCAACGGCACAGCTGACCCAAGATCTTAGTGTCTCCTTCATTTCCCCTCTTTAAATTCTTTCCTGGGGCTAGGGTGTAGGGCGGGGGGCCTGAGAACCACAGAACTAACTGGGTTTAGGCTCCCAAGCGTGATCTGAGGCTGGGGCTATGGCTCAGTGGTAGAAATGCCTAACTACAAAGCCACAGACCCAGTCTCCCAGACTTCCAGAAAATGAGAGAACACAGGCATCACATGAACGATCCTCTGTGCTCACAGCCCTGATGCTTCAAACTTCCAAGTGCTAAAAGATAGGGCACTGTTCATTAACATCGTAGCTGCTGGCTTAATCAAAACAGATTTAAGGCCCTCTTCTTGCTGGGAAAGAAAAGAAAGAATTTAACATTGACCAAGTGGAGTTGACTTCAGGCCTACCTGGGCAGGGTTTCACTATAGGTAAGGGTAGGTAATGCTGACCTTTTATCACCCTGGGATTGCCTAGTCTCAGCCTTGCCCTTCCAAGACCCAGCTAGTCGCGACCAGCGAACTTTTACTGGAGAAGCTGCTTGTCTGATAAACTCCACTCTTGCCTTTCTTCCCCCACCACTAGATCTGTGTATTGAGTTGTGAACTATCGGTTTGCATCCTCAAAGTCCTAAATGGCTTGGGCCAGGGCACCGGAGAGGGGCTCCAGGGTAAGGGGGACAGAGAAGAATCTAGAAAATGTTACAGCTTCGATGACAGGGTGGGACTGTGCTTTGTATGTCTGCAGTAACTGCCGTCTCCAGAGTTCTGTGAGGGTTTGGGGAGAATGAGACACCACACACACCACAGTGTACAGACACAGAACAATTCAACATGGCTTCACACACAGAGAAATGGCATAAAGCATACAATAAATATGCAATCAACGGCCTACCACACACACATATACACACCGCAAATGGTTTACTAAACACAGAGGCAATAAACAACATAGCCTCAACATACACACAGAGAGAGAGAGAGAGAGAGAGAGAGAGAGAGAGAGAACCCACTCTCACTCTGTAGTCCTCTGTCATTCCATGCAGTGTTCTCTTTGGCTCATGTAGGGTTGATCTGTTCCTTCACCTGCTACATAAAGTTCTGATTTACACGCGCATCTCATTTATCTCATTTTCCCCACTTGCGCACATGGGAGTGTGAGTTTTGCTGTTTTCTGCATTTTCTCAGTTTTAGGCAACGATGTTCTTAGCACCAACTGGCCGTCATGTGAGGGCTAGAGAGGGCATGGCGTATGGCAGGGAGGGCACACGCTCTTTCCCTGGGACTAGTCACACTCCTGAGTCTTCATCCTTTTCAAAGAGCTGCCTTGATTGTCATGGTGATCCACAGAAAGTGGGGGTTCACTTCTTCACAGCCTCCCCAGCGTTCAGGACATCTCCTGCGTGTTTGTCACTGAACTCTAGGGCCGTGTCCACAGCTGTTCCTCTCCTTTACCCCCATCTAGAACTGCTCAGGTAAGAATAGTGACATGTGAACATGTGGTCAAGATGCTTTTTCTAAAAAGCCACAGTGTTCATGTAACCCCTGTTCTTGTCTTCTAATCCTGTCTGTGTCCAGAACTAATCATATCTAGAACACACACATACAGTCACTGTGCATATGTGCGTGAGCAAGCATGCATGTGTACACATACACACACACACACACACACACACACACACAGATGCATTGCATTCCATTGTTTTACACATCTTTGACATGGTGTTGATGGAGCACCAGAGAGCTTCAGGGCATCTGTTGGTCTGAGAGAGAAGGCAGTGTCTCGTGTGCATTCAGTTCTCTCTGGCTCTTCATTTATTCCTGGGATACTAGCATGTCCCCAGTGCTCTTCTAGGTCTTAGGGATTCAGCAGCACATAAATTATATTCCTCTGAGAGCACCACCTAGGAGGGGGCAAGGGACAGAGAGTGAGTGACATGAGTGATTATGGAGAGGAGTGAAGCTGAGAAAAAACAGAAGGGGAAGACGTGGTCTGAGATGGGAGATGAAGGCAGGGCACAGGCCCTGGTGGGAAGCAGGGAATTGCAAGCACATGCTCTGGGCAGAGCAGCAATGTGGCTGGTATGGCTGGGAAAGGAAGAAGGGAGCCACTAGAGGTAGGTGACATCAGAGGGGACAGTAGAAGAGCTGGGGATGAGGTCAGATACAAGAGAGAGTTTGGAGGTACAGGGGCCAAGATTAAGATGGATCAGGATCACGGGAGACACACGGGTGGACAGAGCTCAGGAACAAACTGAGGGTTCGCCTTGTCTGCTCAAGGTCATGTTTGAGACCTTGAGATACGACACACCTCTCCAAGGCTTATATGTTGGAACATTTGGTCCCCAGCTGGTGGTGATAATTTGGGAGGTTTGGGGACCACTAAAGTTGCATCCCAGCTGCAAGAAGTGAATCACTGCGTGGGGGAAGGCTTGATTTTATAACCCTCCTCTGCTTCCCAATGACCTCCCCTTCTGCTCCCCATCCACCCAGATCAAAGCTCCCCCCCCCCACCTTCCGTGAGAGTGTACCCTAACCCTGAGACAAAATAAGTGCTCCCGTCTTAGGGTGCTTTCTTGTGGGGTATCTGATCACAGAAACCAGAAAAGCAGTATATGGAGTGAAGGTGACCAGGGCATGGGGTAGGTAGACAGGCTGAGACCAGACTCTGAAGCACAGTCATCAGGCAGCGAGCCAGCTGGGGGGACACTGGACAGCTCATCCTCTCTGAGCTCCATTCTCCTGTGACCCACCCCCCCGTGCTGGTTCCCCATCCACGGCCCGGGCGCTCCAGCACTCCCGGACTTGCCATCCCTCAGACACATGTGTCTTATAAGAAGAAGGCCACATAGCAGTGCTGTGTCTCTCTAGAGCCCAGAGGATACACCTCATTGTCCGAGAGCCATCTCTTCAAAGTGGCTCTTTCCGACTTCCCAGTTCATGGTAAAGTCGATGTGTATGAAAAAGGAAAAGCTGGCTTTACAAACAAGTTGACGGGAAGGGGGACCCTGGCCACTGAAAAGTTCAGAGGACTTCAGGGGTAGCTGGACCTGCGATCTCAACTAGTGGAGTCAGAGTTGATTTTCTTTTTTTTTTTTTTATAATTTTTTTTATTAAGAAAAGAAGAAAAAAAACATAAACAAAAAACAAGTTTCCACCTCCTCCCAGCCTCCCATTTCCCTCCCCCTCCTCCCACCCTTCTCCCCCTCCTCCCACCCTTCTACCCCTCCCCCCACTCCTCTCCCCCTCCCTCTCCAGTCCACAGAGCAGTCCAGGTTCCCTGCCCTGTGGTAAGTCCTAGGTCCTCCCCCCTCCGTCCATATCTAGGAAGGTAAACATCCAAACTGGCTAGGCTTCCACAAAGCCAGCACATTAAGTAGGATCAAAACCCCGTGCCATTGTCCTTGGCGTCTCATCAGCCCTCATTGTTCGCCATGTTCAGAGAGTCCGGTTTTATCCCATGCTTTTTCGGTCACAGTCCAGCTGGCCTTGGTGAGCTCCCAGTAGATCAGCTCCACTGTCTCAGTGGGTGGGTGCACGCCTCGTGGTCCCGACTTCTTTGCTCATGTTCTCCCTCCTTCTGCTCCTCATTGGGACCTTGGGAGCTCAGTCCAGTGCTCCAGTGTGGGTCTCTGTCTCTGTCTCCATCCATCACCAGATGAAGGTTCTATGATGATATGCAAGATATTCGTCAGTATTGCTCTAGGATAGGGTCATTTCAGGTTCCCAATCCTCAGCTACCCAAGGAACTAACTGGGAACCTCATGTTGGGCACTTGGGAGCCCCTCTAGGGTCAAATCTCTTGCTCACCCTAAAGTGGTTCCCTTAACTAAGAATTGTGGTTCCGTGCTCCCCTATCCACCTTTCCTTTATCCCAATTCTCCTGATTCCCCAAATCCCCCCTCCTTCCCTTCTACCTTTTCTCTCCCCATCTCCCCTTACCCCCATCCCACCCCACCCCCAAGATCCTAATTTTCTCCCCGGCAATTGGGTCTACTTCCCTTAGCCAAGAGGATAACTATATGTTTTTCCTTGGGTTCACCTTCTTACTTAGCTTCTTTAGGTTCACCTATTGTAGACTCCGTGGCCCTAATTTATGGCTAGAAACCAATTATGAGCGAGTACATCCCATGTTCATCTTTTTGGGTCTGGGACACCTCACTCAGGATAGTGTTTTCTATTTCCATCCATTTGCCTGCAAAATTCGAGAAGTCATTGTTTTTTACCTCAGCGTAGTACTCTAGCGTGTATATATTCCATACTTTCTTCATCCATTCTTCCATTGAAGGGCATCTAGGTTGTTTCCAGGTTCTGGCTATTACAAATAATACTGCTATGAACATAGTTGAACAAATGCTTTTGTCATATGATAGAGCATCTCTTGGGTATATTCCCAGGAGTGGTATTGCTGGGTCCAGGGGTAAGTTGATCCCGAATTTCCTGAGAAACCGAAACACTGACTTCCACAGTGGTTGCACAAGATGGCATTCCCACCAGCAATGGATGAGGGTACCCGTTCCTCCACAGCCTCTCCAGCAAAGGTTATCCTTGGTGTTTTTGACTTTAGCCATTCTGACAGGTGTAAGATGATATCTCAAAGTTGTTTTGATTTGCATTTCCCTGATTGCTAAGGAAGTTGAGCACGACTTTAAGTGTCTTTTGGCCATTTGAACTTCCTCTGCTGAGAATTCTCTGTTCAGTTCAGTGCCCCATTTTTTAATTGGGTTAATTAGCATTTTAAAGTCTAGTTTCTTGAGTTCTTTATATATTTTGGAGATCAGACCTTTGTCTGTTGTGGGGTTGGTGAAGATCTTCTCCCAATCAGTAGGTTGCCTTTGTGTCTTATTGACTATGTCCTTTGCTTTACAGAAGCTTCTCAGTTTAAGTAGGTCCCAT